CCCTTACGAAAAAGAAGTTTATTCAAGTGTGCTATTAGAATACTTCTTTTAAACTAAAAAATAGGAAAGTATACTTTTAGTCTAAGTACTTTTTATGTACTTCTCAGAAATATACTTAAAATGACATTTAAGTATACTCAGAGGCGGACTTAACCATTAGGCAAAGGTAGGCGACCGCCTTGGGCCCCCTAAAATGCTTTTTATATGCGAGATGCACGTTCAGTGCGGACGCGCAAGTGGTTGCTCTGGTGTTCATTACCACGACAACCGTCTGTTTGAACGTGTTGAACGTGTTTCTTAGCAAAAGTAGGGCGATGTAGAAAATGGAGACGGAATCTATTCATAATTACTGTGTATCATTTTTAGTTTATTGAATTTAGCTTTCGCTTTAAAGCCTTATTTTAGTTTTTAGATTGCAATGTTACAATCATGGCCGGACTTACCATTGGGCTTGAATGGGCTGCAGCCCAGGGGCCCCGCCTTAACCCGTTTACATTTGTTCAGTTATGTGCCAGTCAGAAATTATTAGTCGCATTTCAACAGCGCGCACGGTCCAGCCGGGGCTAACAACTTCCAGCTTCCAACTACGACATTCGAAGCCATAATCAAACAGCATAAACTGGAATTTATGATTTTTTTTCACATAGAAAAAGGACACACATATTAAATCATGTCTGCGCTGCGCCGAATTGCCAATTAATTTGTGATCACATGGCTACTTTAAACGGTTCCATTAAGCCTTTAGCCCAAAAGAGCGCACATTTACAAAGATAATGATAAATTCTCACATGTTACTTCCAGCTTCCAACTACGACATTCGAAGCCATAATCAAACAGCATAAACTGGAATTTATGATTTTTTTTCACATAGAAAAAGGACACATGTATTAAATCACGTCTGCGCTGCGCCGAATCGCCGGCCAATTAATTTGTGATCACATGGCTACTTTAAACGGTTCCATTAAGCCTTTAGCCCAAAAGAGCGCACATTTACAAAGATAATGATAAATTCTCACATGTTCACGCCTCACTTCTTTACAGAGGATGATTCTATATTATATTAATGGTCCACTAAATTAATCTGAAGAGTTTTGAGCGCTCTCTCCCGTTCAAAGACTATAGAATACCCTAATATCTTGCAGGGACTTTGTCCCGTCTCACTACCTCCACACAAAGTGGAGCAGAAATTTTATCAAAACGATTAAAAAAATTAAAATAGCCATTTACAGGGTTCGTACGGTCATGAAAAACACAGAAAGCTTTGGAAAAGTCGTGGAAATGTATTTTACAAATCTCTATATAATAGAATATATGTGTAATCACGTCCTGAATCTCGGTGCGGAATTGCACATTTTGGTTTTACTCATTTTCGCAGGTTTCGCAATTCGCACGTTTGGAAAATTCCCGCAAACATTTATTTAATATACAATGTAGGTTAGATGAGTTAAAAAAAATCACACAAAATATCAGATTAAGTCAATCGTTTGAAAACAGCGTGAGTGGTTCAGCTGTCTCCTAATATGTTAACTGCATCATCGAATGTCAATCAGTTTGTAGCGGAGGTTTCTGTTGCAGCTGAAACTAGTACTATTTCTTCAAGATAAATATAAAAAATTGGATTATAGTCAAATACATTATTTAGCAACCAATAATGGGTTGTATTCATTAAAATCACTTTAATACTATGTGTAAATGCATAAAATAAGCCTTGAATATATTCAATATATACTTTTTTAATTGAATATATACTTTTTCAGTGAATTTTAGATCCACTATACTGACTTTGATATGTCACTATTTTAATGATTTTATAACAAGGATGTGACATCCTTGTGTAAACTGAATGTTTTATGCAAATTATTCTGCAAGTGATGTTTGCTTTAAATGATATCTTAGTTATGAAGTCTCTCTGCTGAAGTCAGCCATGAATAGCATTCTTCTAGCAAAGAGCAAGTAGGGGGGGGTTAACCCTTACAAAAAAAAAAAAAAGGCTGCTAATGGCCTCTTCCTGTCCAAATTTCTTGGATGCAGACGGTGTCAGTGTCAGGTATAGATAAGGACTTCTGAAACCATAAAGTCACAAGACTCTGACACTTTCTTTCTTAAAGAACCCTCAGGTCATTATAAGGATTTTATTGTATTTTATTTTATTTTTTTACTGAATCATAAAGGTATTCTAATGCAGATTGTAATTCTGTTTTTCAAACTTTTCATACCAAAATTTTACATTATAAGACCTGGTCATGGACAAATAGTATAATGCATAATAATGCACTGTGACACATTTTCAAGTGTTTTAATGCATTCTACTATTTTTTTAAATACTTGTCAACATACAACTTATTCAGTGTGCAGTCATTTCTTGATGCATTATATATATAGAGAAAGCCTTACTGTACTTCTGTAATTCTGTAGATAGCCCATTTACTTGCCCCACAACTATGAAGTACCAGGCAAAGTTATTTATTGCAACACTGTTGTACTGTGGCAACACCTGGCTTATGTTTTAGCCTTCTTCATTTGAAAGTCACTTTTGAGAAAAATGTCTAAATGCATCATGTAAATATTTGACCAGTTCTTTAATCATCTAAGAAGTACATTACTTTATATAATCATCCCTGTTCAAAGGTGTCCATGTCTGCACTGTCTACAAATATTTGCCCTTTCATAAAGCATTTATTTCTTTATTGCTAAAAGGTGTGATCAAACAAGTGAGCATATGGTAAACATAACATTTCATAAGAGCATGAATTATGGAACACGCATTGTTACCTGAAAATCCTTGCTCTACATTAAGTTAACACTGCTACCATTTTAAAGTAAATGACAATACAATTACAAGAACAATCTTTAGATTGTTATCTGAGACCACAAAAAGTTTTACAACTACTTGAAATCATTCTTACCTCTTTTGGTTGTTTTTGCTGGAAGCTTCAGTCGGGATCCTGTTAGAGTCCAGTTAAGGCTGTGTTTTTCTGCTCACTAATGGTTGATGTGGGTCAAGCACACTGTGAACCCTCAGTGAAAAACTGAGCATGTTTCCTTCCTTTCCTCTGTTTAAAATATCAGTCAGGGCCAAACTCCACCCTCAGGAACACTCCCCTCCCTCGGTGGAGATAAAACAAATACCTTGCAGCCAAATGAAGGAATAGCTCTCTCCTTATTGAAAAAATATGCGCAGAAACCCAAAGCATATACAGTAGCAGTAATTAAAAACTGAATTCATATTAACCATATTTTTTAAGTCAGCAAAGACTGAATTTTGTGTATGTTACTTTAAATGGGGTTATTAGGGGAAATAACTGACTGCCAGTTTTTTTCTCTTTCTCTGTCTCTCTCTCTCTCTCGCTCTCTCTCACTCCAGTGCATTCACAATTGGTGGCTGACATTTCAGACTGTGGTAGAACAATGTATCAAGCTCATGTTCAAACTTATTATGAAAACCTATTCTCATTAATGATTTTATCATTACATTTCGTTAGTATTCTCTCAAGTTTGTGCACAGTTTCTGTTAGTCATTTCCAATGATGTAATATATATTGCATGTGGTGTCTTATCTCTGTTGTCACAGAAGGCATGGTCATTGAATGGGATCCTGCTCGACCTGCAGCTTTGGGGTTTCTGGTGCAAATGTCCTTGAATAAGGCAAGTATCACACATAAAGGCAGTATTACAGAACTTGACAGTATTATTATATCGTATACTGCTTATTCAATGCACCAGTGTAAAGAACAGATTTAAGTAGAATAGATTTAAAACCACTCCCATTCAAAAGTTCAGGTAGGTAAGATTTGAAAAAAGTTTTTTTTATTAAATAAGTCTCCTAAGCTTACAAAGGCTGCATTTGTTTGGTCAAAAATATAGTAAAAAAAATAGTAATATTGTGAAATATTATTACAATTTAAATGAACTGTTTTCTATTTTAATATATTTTAGAATGTAATTCATTCCTGTGATTGCAAAGCTGTAACTCCAGCCTTCTGTTTCTGTTTCCTCCTACATGTTTCACAATACATGTTGCAGTAATGGATGAGAAACACCGCATTGTATTGCATACTAGGTCTTATCTCTGATTCTTGGTGGGGACAATTTCAGTGGGCATAAAATGAGATCCTGTTCTACCTGCCGCTCTTGGTTTTTGGATAAACATACCTCAAAGAAAACAAAGATTCCAGGTTAAGATGGACAGACCATTAATAATGTCACACATTAGTGTAGCTTTGTTTAGACTTGTTAGGTTGCTGAAAAAAATTTAATCATAATTTTTTGGTTTCTGATAAACACTTTTATCTAAGCAATTTCTGCACAGATCTGTGAGGCATTTATGGGAATTAGTAACAGAAATCATTCTACATTGTTGCAATTCATGCTGAACTAATCTAAACCCTCAGGGAAAGTCAGATCTTGTAATTATCTTAATGTGCATGTACGGAAATGATTTTGTAATTATTTTCATGGAGCCGCACAGGCAGAGCTTTGCCAAAGTGAAAGGTGAGGTTGTGTTTTATGCATGGTTGCGGTTTGAGAGACTTGTAGGACTATAGATTCAAGTGTTAATACCAGTTTCGCTGTGTGGCAATTCCTTTTGTTAGAGATGTTCCCAATCACCGCATACATGCTCAAACAGTTCCAGAATTCTTGAGTACTTAAGATGTCTCATTTCTCTTTCTGATTACTCAGTCCATCCCACATTTATAATGCAGATGCAGCCAAGAGGAACTGACAAAACAACTCTGTAAGACTTGGCCAAAAGAAGGTGTGGCAGTTTTACAGTCTGAAGTAGTAGTTTTCATTCCTTGGAAGAAAAAAATCCTTGATAAGATTTAGGCCTCATTTGCCATTTTCCACCAAAAGAGGGTGTGAATTATTTTTGTTTTTAAACAAACGGTCACTGAGGTTCTTAATGTTGCATGGGCCGTTATATATATAGCATACTGTTGCATTATTTTTATATATATCTATATAGCATTTAAAAATTAAAAAGACAAAATGCATTATGTAACACTAAAAACAATTAAAAGTTTAATGAAATCATTAAAAAAAAAAAAAAGTAGAAAAAAATTCCATAAGGGGTAGATTAATCCTTAAGGAGATGAAATGATAATGGGTATTCATAAACGTATTCATAAATTGTTCTACAATCAACTGTATATCAACAACAGATTATCAAAATTATGGGACTTTAATTATATTTAGCCAAGCCATAGTCATTATTTAAAATTATTTTAATAATAAATATAATTGTTTTGGATAATAAATTCATGAAAGTAAATGCTTCATAGGGTTGCTACATATTCTAAAGCGTTTCAGTCATATCTTCCCTGGAAATCTCTTGAACAGTCTTGAAAATATAGCTGAATAGTTGACTAAGTTGATAACTGAAAACTGACATTTTTATTATTAATGTTGTTGCATTGAGTTTCCTGATTACCAAAGCCTTCAGAATACAAACAGTTGAATTGCAGTGCAAGTGTTTTCTGAATGTGCAAAGAAATTAGAATAATACAAACAACTTACTTAAGACATAGTTCAAAACTTAGCTGTTCATTAGTCAACACAGCGCTCCAGCTATACAGTGTTTCTCAACAGGGGTTACGCGTACCCTCGTGGTCCGTCACGTAATTGCAGGGGGTTTGTAGAATCGTTACAAAAATGTTTGAAACATTTTTTTTAAATTATTATTATCATAAACCGACACGCTATTTTATTGTATATTGACATTAATTTAATGATCAAAAACAGTAAATTTTAGGTTAAAGTTCAAGTAACTGTAGGTGTGTTTTATATTTGCTGCCATTTTTAAACATTCGCGTGAACAGCTCATAGGAGAACAGAGCAGCCACTACCCTTACAAAAATTAACCATGGTTTTACTACAAAAAAAAAATAAAAACATGCTTACTATTGTTAAACCATGGTAACCACAGTTTTTCATGCGCCTGTCAATTTTGAGATTTTGGGCTTTTTGGCTTTCCATAAAGTGTTCATAAGGACTAGTGGAAAGAAAACATCCAAAAGACACTGTTAATTGTTTCTTTTATTGCACTTTTATAGCACTATCTTTTTGTGTCAATAGATTTCAATTACAATACATATTTTTAAAGGCCATTTTCTCAAAATGAGTTTATTTTTTTTTCATACACTGAGCCATAAATCTCTACTTTAGTAGCACTTACACACACCAAACTTTACATTTTTATTCCTGTCTATATTCTGAAGGTTTTTACAGAGGGATTTGTTCATATATAATTTGCTTGATTATATACAACATTTTATTCCCCCCAAAAGTGTGAAAATACATTGTTTTCTGGCTGTTCAAAGATTTTTCTGAATTATGGAGTGCAAAATTCCCTCTGTAAAAACGTTTGCCTCTAATATGTCAAAAAAAAAATTAAACAAGAATTTTGAAACTGACTTCATCCAGTGTTCAGATTTTTGTACTAGAAATGTTTTCAAATTAGAGCATATTTCATTAAATAATGCCTCATTTGCATATTTAGACATAACATTTTAGAAAACTTGCAATACAAAAAATGTTTGCAATTATCAATGTAATCAATCAACTGGGCAAGTAAGGTGATAACTATTGGTTAATATTTTTACCCTATTTACCTGCAGTGTCTCGCCTTAACCATGGTTTTGCTACACTAACCAGTTTAACCATGGTATTTGTGGAAGCAAATTAGTTAATGTGTGGAAAACCTTGCAGAGTTATGAAACCTGAATAGCAGCAATGGCAGGATTAATTCCCCTTGTTTTGAAATGAAATCTTCTAGCACATCTGGGTGTGGAGTTCAGGTGTCCACATTCTTTAGGTCATTTTAATATAGCGTTCAAGATGGTATCAGTTATAGAGAAAACTACGTAATTCAGTTTCAGTAAAGATAGAGAAAAGGATGGGAGGTGAAGCTGTTTGGGGTGTGCAAATAATTGCTAATAGTTAGTTGTGATGAGGTTTTTATATCATTTTACATTGTGATTTTACAACCAAACCTGTTAATTGCAGACTTTGATATTTGCAATGCAAGCAAAACTTTGACAGTGAGAAGGGAGTTTTGGTAAGTGTTCGGGTGGAGATAAAGCTAGAAGACTGCTTTAAATATTTAAGGCAAAGCTCAGAAATAATTTCTGTATTAAACTGCATTATTAAATAATTAAAACACACATCAAATGTGTAAACAATAATTAATGCATGTTTTGATGACAAGGTATGAGGTTTTACCTGTTTCTTTTGGCTCAGTCAAGTATGTTGGTTTCTTGATTTTATATGCAAATATGGTTTAAAAGAAAATTACTAGCATTTCTTTATAATTCTTGTGATTAAGGACATTGTGTGTGCAGTCTTCAGTGTCACATGATCCTTTAGAAATCATTATTATACTGTATGCTGATTTAGTGCTCAAGAAACATTTCTTTTTATTATCGCTTAATATTTTAGTAGAATTTTTTAAAGAATTCTTAGATGAATAGAATGTTCAAAACAACAACATATATTTAAAATCGATATCTTTTGTAACATTATGCTAAACCGTACTGTTATTTGTGATTAATTTAATGCTTCCTTGCTAAATAAAAGTATTTATTTCCTTCAAAAATAATAAAATAAATCTTCCTGACCCCAAACCTGCAAATGGTAGTGTGTATTTTGAATGAAATAATATAGTGTTTTTAATAAAATAATTTTCACACTATCCTTTCATAGTTTTGACACTCTTTGTGACATTTTGTCACTTTCACAGATGCCAGACTGTAAAGCCTGTCAAGTATAAATGTGTTTTTTTTCTCCTTCCTTTCCTCAAGGTGGGTATGAGGGACTATGAGGGGTTTAGTAAGGAGTTACATTCTCTGAGCCACTGGTCAGAAGAAGCTGAGAAGGTTCTGAAGGAACCAGACCCAGTCGGTTCTCCAGATGTCTCATCTGTGCAGGAACACATGGAAAAACTTAAGGTGAAATTAGTTTTTCTGTAAAATTATAGGGTTGTATAAACACTTTTGAACTTTCTCATATGTATGTGTGCCTGTAGACCCAAATGTTAAAGCTGAGCAGTCTTTCTCCTGATCTGGAACGTTTGAATGAGTTGGGTTATCAGCTTCCCCTCAATGATAATGAAATCAAGCGTCTGCAGAACCTAAACAGGAGCTGGTCGTCTAACTCTGCTCGCACAATAGAGAGATTCAGGTATGTGTGGTTACTGCGGATCTATGGTAGATTTTCAATTTCTTCTCTAAAAGTGTGTAATGTTCAGTTGTCTGCATCTCTATGTATGTGCAGTAAATTGCAAGCCCTGGTATTGCAAAGACAGACCTTTTTGGAGAAGTGTGATGCTTGGATGACCTTCCTTAACCAAACAGAAGAGAAACTGGCCGCTGAGATTTCTGGAAACTACCAGAGCCTACTAGACCAGCAGAGAGAGCATGAGGTACTGATAGAAAAAAATACTTTTTTTAAAATAACTACAACTAAAGGCCTGTTCACATCAAATGAAAAGCCGCATTTACATTACCATTCAAAAATTTTGGGGTCAACAAGATTTTTTTTGTTTTTGTTTTTGAAAGAAGTCTCTTATGCTCATCAAGGCTGCATTTATTTGATCAAAAATACAGTAAAACTGTAATATTTTGAAACATTATTACAATTTAAAATAACTATTTTCTGTTTTAAAATTTATTCCTGTGATGGCAAAGCTGAATTTTCAGCATCATAACTCCAGTCTTCAGTGTTACGTGATCCTTCAGAAATTATTCTAATATGCTGATTTGCTGCTCAACATTTTTTTATTGTTCTTATTAGGACAATTTTGACCCCAGCATTTTTTCTGTCAATATTCAGTTTTTATTTCAAAACTCAAACCTTAATAAGATGGCTATATTAATAAGCTTTTTCAGTTTAAAAATGATCAAACTATGCAGCATAAAATGCATTGGGTCATAGTTTAATTACCTACTTTATGCAACTGCTCTACTTTTTGTGTGTGTGTGTGTGTGTGTGAATAGCTTGAGGGGGTTTGTAACCAATCCAGTACAAAACCTGTCACATAGCATGACAAACACGTTCTCTTCCCTAAGGCAAATGTCTCAAAGTTAATGGATTTAAAACATTACATAAATTATGTATAGATTTATTTAAACCCTTAAGTTAAGAAATGTAATGCTACTTCATTTGGTTTTAATGCTGAGGGTTGACATTAATGCCATTCTGCTGTGTATTTTCACTGTTTCAGTGATACTTGATTGTTTTTCCTAAGGATGTGACTAACTACCAAGGAGTTGACAAAAGGGTAAACTGACACTGTACAGCAGATATTTAATATTTATTTACAGTAGGATATTAACATTTCATCTCGTAAATACCATACTCAGATCATGCATTCAATATCAGAACAGTTTCAAATATACCTTTTAAGTGCCTCAAAAAGCTTACTTTAAACAAGGTTTTGCTGAGTATAACTGCTCATATTGCATCATTTTAATCATGTTAGTATGAGAAGCAGAAGATAGGAAAATATAACTAAAATTGAAATAAAATGATTTACAGTACAGTGAAAAAACATCATCGGATTGGAGAGACTGAAGCAGATTTTCTTTTTTGTGCCTTTGAAATTCAGTCTACGTTTCCAATTTTATGACTACAGTTTTAGTTATGGCATGATTTGTTAAATTACAGAGACCTTGATCTTGTAAACATCTACATTCAGTTCAAAGATCAATGTTCAATTACTTGTAATGCTTGTCAGTAGGCCTACATCATTGCACCAACACACAAGGCTGTATTGCAAATGATATACGAAGTGAATGTACTGTGATTTACACACCAGTGTTTCTAGTACTACACTAAAACACTTACGATTTAGTGTTCAAATTGACCAGTAAGGGTGAATATCAGTTGACCAGTCTGATTTCTTCTATAGACCATTAGCGTTTTTAATTCTAATAAACCAAATAAATCTAACAATTAATAAGCAAAGCTGAAAATGGAGCATAAATAAAGGTAGTGGAACATGTCTGTTGGTTGAAAGATCACACTGACTGTGATTCGTTTGAAAGGAGCAATCCATTCCATACGCTCTAAACACACAGGTGGAGTTCAAGTGGCAGTGAAAGATAGGGAGCCATTTAGTGATTGAAAACAAAGCAAATTATCATAACAAATGGAGACTTGAATTTAAAAAGGTAATCTGGGCATATTCAAGATATCATCATTCTGTAGTAGACACAGAAAGACACCTACTGATAAAAAATGAGACCCATTATTTTTGATATTAAGAGGCTTTCATTTGATAACTACACAGTGCATGAGTTTTTCAAAAAAATAAATAAAAATGTTTGAATTGACATTATTGGCCAGGCTAGTTAATATTTAAACAGAGAAGGGAGTGTCCCATAGGCTACTTTTATGCAACAATAAACAATGAAAATCCTACATTGTTACGTTCTATATAATCCGCAATTAGACATAATTATTGTCTTTAGGCATTAAGTCTAATGAGGGTGCACATTACATTTACAAGAAAATTAATGTAGACGCCACACAAGGTTAAGGCGGAAGTGAGGTCCCCTTTGAATCAGATGAAGGACCAGAGGCAAATTATGGTTGGGATGTGAGCCACTTATTCCTTTTAAAGATGTTTCATTGTCATCTTTAGAGTGATCTGTGGCAAATTCTGCAAGGATCTTTATCTAGTAAGACTGCATAGTTCAGTTTATAGTTTTATAGTTTCCAAATAATGAGAAGAGAATGGATTTCTAAAGAACAATGTCCATGGCAGTGCTGCCAAGACGTTTAATGTTTTGTTTATTGACATGCTCCCAATCATAAGTGTCCAAATGGACTTTATTCCGCTCTGCAGATTGTAACAGCTCCGCCTTGTTTTTTTGTATTTATTTTATTACCATGCTGGCTTAAAATGTTCCGTGTTAAAATACAACAAAATGTGTACAGATACCCTAGGGATCTTTACATAAACACACAAAAATATGTAACAAATAACTTATACATCTCATTTGTAGCATTACTATATCCTCTCCAAGAAATCTAAACATTCTTAAAACTTCAATATTATTAATGTGCCAGTTTACAAGGTAATACAAAAAGAGAGGCTATAAGTATTTAACACTGCTAATAAATGAAAAGACTGAATACAAAAAATGAAAATGAAAATGATTTGCCATGAATGTTGTGCAGAATAAACTGTTTATGATATCATTTTATACTGTCATGTCAAAATGAAAAGGAAAGTGTGAGATAAAAACATCTGTATATTTAACTAAATATATAAAAATGAAATAAAATATTAAAGCCAGTCCTTTATAGCATTATTATTCCCATCATTAAAAAAGCCTATTAGCAATATCATGCAGAGCAGGATAAATGTCCTTTTGTGTACATAAATTAAGCAACTAAAGAGGGCTGAGTTTGTGATAATGTGAATATTCTCTTTTCATCATAGCAACAGTTCCTGCCTGATGCTAAAGCTAAAAGGGCTTGCTTTAACTCATCCATCTGAAGTCCACCATGTGCCCCTGAATCATAACGACGGCCATAGCTAGTGGGGCTGTAAGATGAGGAAAAACCCATGGAGAAACCTGAGCCTGTAGCATCAAAACTTCCCCTTCTAGAGCCTGATCTTGAACCAGTTCTGGATCCAGACCTAGACCCTGAAGTTGATCCAGAGCCACTGATGCTGTATGGGCTGTAAAGGCCTTTACTTGACTGAGAGGATGCCTCTAGCAACCTCAGGCCAGATCCTTCCTCGATCATGCTTCTGTCCATGGCATCCTTGTATGAGATCTTGAGTTTTGTTTTGGGGCAGGTGAGGTATTTTGAATATCCACTGACATCTCTCAGTTTCTGTGCAGTGCGTGCATCCAGAGTGCCCTTCTTGACAGCATCATCCAATGATACTCTTCCTGAAACATCCGGTTCAATTAAACCACCTGTTAGGTACTGGACTTCAAGGAACCGTTGGCCAGCTTCATAGTAGAGCCAACCCTTCTTTAAGGCTTGAGCGGCAGACATTTTGGTTTTGGTTCTTGGATCTTCAAATCCCTGAAAAGCTTTCTGAGCTAGGTTGATACGATCAACCATGATCTTGTCCACCAGCCCTTTGTTCACTGCATCAGCAACAGAGAATTTCTCTCCAGTGTTTGGGTCAATAATTCCTCCTGTGCAGGCTTGTGCTTCAAGTAGTCTTTGACCAGTGATGTTGTCAACTAGATTCCGATGCATAGCCTCCGTAATTGACACCTTTTCCAAAGTATCTGTATCTAAGATTCCAGCCACTGGTCCAGTTTCCTCGGCTGGATCAGTCCAGGTTGTAGCCGGCGTCTTTATGGATGGAATTGGACTCATGGGATAGGATGAGTTGGATCCAAAGGAAGATGATCGAGATCTGAAGCCACTCATATTACCAGAGAGCATGTCTGCAAATTCAGTGATGGAAAGGGTACCAGCACGGTACTGGTCTAAAGCAGACTGGTCTATGAGGCCCTTGGAGATTGCATCATCAATGTCATACTGCCGTCCAGACCTTCTGTCAATGATCATAGACTTAACAACACCATCTGATGATGAGGTGGTAATTTCTTCCCATTCACACTCCTGCTCTGCAAGCTCAGTGTATGTTTGATGGTCAATGAGTCCTTTGCGGTATGCCTCATACACAGACATTTCTTTTCCCGTTTCTGGATCTACGATGACAACTCTACGTTTGCGGACTGAAGACTTAGAGGATGTCTTTCTTTCCCGTTTCTTTTCTTTTAGCAGTAAAAGAGAAAGTCCAGTTTCAGGGTCTGTTATGCAGCGCTCCATGAGCTGGAGATAGGTCAAATTCTCCTCTGTGTTTGGATCGAAGAACCCCTTTGTGTCATCAGAGGGATCTGTGAGAATACTATTCATCTCCTCATCAAAGAGACCCCGTTTGTAGGCCATTTCAACAGGCAGGCGATGGCTCTCTTCAGGATCAATGATTCCACCGGTGGCTATTTGAGCCTCAAGCAGACGGATACCATGGTCTTTTAGAATAAGACCTTTCTTCATAGCCTGGAACAGGGAGATCACCTTGCCAGAGTATGGATCTTTGTAGCCGGTCACAGCTCGTTCAGCAGAGAGGAGCTTATCTTTAAATTCTGGTCCCACGACTCCCATTTTTACAGCTTCATGGACATTCATTTTGAGATTTTTGATTGGATCAATCACATACCCAGTAGCTGCCTGAGCCTCCAGAAGTTCAAAGGCAGTTCCTGGTCTGATCATGTTCTTTTTCATGGCTTGGTAGACTGACAGTCGATCTTTGGTAGCCTCTACATAGACACCTGCAATAGAGCTGATGCCTTCGAGATATTTCTTCAGGTCTTTACTAAGGTCCTCTACAGAAATGGTACCCTCCATGAGTGCGGTGTAGGTTTTCTGATCAATAATTTGAGAGCGCAACAACTCATCTGGGGTGATCTGCTTTCTAAGGCCCTTAAATAGAAGTCTCTTGTCTGCCAGAGACAACAATCGTAAGCCACTCTCTTTGTCAACTTTGCATCTTTTAAGAAGTAGTGCATAGGACAGCTTTTCATCTGTCGTAGGATCAGCAAACTGTTTGACATCTCCACTTGGATCAGATATCCTGTCACTGGTTTCTTTGTTTATGTAACCACGTTGCATGGCGACATCAATTGGGAGGTGGAAATAGTACTCTGGATCCATGAGGCCACCTGTTGCTACCTGGGCCTCCAAAAGCTTCAAGGCATAATCCTCAGGCACGAGGTCCTTTTTCATGGCTTGGAATAATGAAATGACTTTACCACTATAGGGATCCTTGTAACCTGTGACTGCTCTTTCAGCAGACAAGAGTTTGTCATGGATCTCTGGGCCAACGAGACCCTTCCGGACGGCCTCATCAACTGTCAACAATTCATCTTTCACAGGGTCAGTGATGAATCCTGTTGCTGCTTGTGCCTCCAACAGATCTATGCCAATGTCAGGTTTTATGAGACCTCTCTTCATGGCTTGGTAGATACTAACCTTAGCATAGTTATCTGAGAGTATTCCAGCAATGCTGCCTGTTCCAAAAAGATACTGCTTCACACTTGGCATCTCCATAACCTCCCGGATCGTTTTCTTGCCTTGTTTGAGCAGGTTGTAAGTTTCGAGGTCTATAATGCGAGCTCTGTAAAGTTCATCAATAGTAACCCGCCGTCTGATGACATCACACGACATATTCTGCTCAGTCTTGATGATCTCTCTTTGTTCAATAATTTCAATTATAATAATGACCATTCTCTCTTTTGTGATTTTGCC